TCCTCCACCAAACTTTACAGTTGCCACTATGCATTCAGGCAGGTAATGTTCTCCTGGCATCCGCCAAACCCAGATTCGTCCGTCGGACTGCCAGATGGTGAAGCATGATTAATCACTCCAGAGAATGCGTTTCCACTGCTCCAGAGTCCAATGGCAGTAAGCTTTACACCACTCCAGCCGACGCTTGGCATTGCACATGGTGATCTTAGGCTAGTGTGTGGCTGCTTGGCAATGGAAACCCATTTCATGAAGCTCCCGACTAACAGTTCTTGTGCTGACGTTGCTTCCAGAGGCAGTGAGGGTTGCAACCGAGAACAGACGATTTTTAGGAACTAGGCGCTTCAGCACTCGGCGGTCCCGTTCTGTGAGCTTGTGTGACCTACCACTTCATGGCTGAGCCGTTGTTGCTCCTAGACATTTCCACTTCACAATAACAGCACTTATAGTTGACCGGGGCAGCTCTAGCAGGGCAGAAATCTGACGAACTGACTTGTTGGAAAGGTGGCATCCAATGACGGTGCCACGTTGAAAGTCACTGAGCTCTTCAGTAAGGCCATTCTTATTTTAATTTAAAAAATGTACCCTCTTTTTCTCCCCAATTTCAATCTTGTCTCATCGCTGGAACTCCCCAAATGGCTCGGGAGGCGAAGGTCGAGTCATGCGTCCTCCGAAACATGACCCACCAAATCGACTTCTTAACACCCGCCTGCTTAACCCGGAAGCTAGCCGCACCAATGTGTCAGAGGAAACACTGTTCAACTGACGACCGAGGTCAGCCTGCAGGCGCCCGGCCCGCCACAAGGAGTCGCTAGAGCGATTGTGCGCCGCCCTATGGGACTCCCTATCACGGCCGGTTGTGATACAGCCTGGGATCTAACCCGGGTCTGTAGTGACGCCTCTAGCACTGTGATGCAGTGTCTTAGACCGCTGCTCCACTCGGGAGGCCCAGTAAGGCCATTCTACTGCAAATGTTTGTCTATGGAGATTGCATGGCTGTGTGCTCGATTTTATACACCTGTCAGCAACGGGTGTGGCTGAAATAGCCAAATCCACTCATTTGAAGGGGTATCCACATACTGTAGCTAGATAGAATCTCTTTGATATACTGCCCAACTAACCGTTTGACTCCAATGCTTCCCACAGTTGTGTCAAGTTGGCTGGATGTCCTTTAGGTGGTGGACCATTCTTGATACACACGGGAAACTGTTGAGTGTTAAAAACCCAGCAGCGTTGCAGTTCTTGACACAGTCAAACCGGAGCGCCTGGCACCTGCTAACATACCCTGTTCAAAGGCACTTAAATCTTTTGTCTTGCCCATTCACCCTCTGAATGGCACACATACACCATCCATGTCTCAATTGTCCCAAGGCTTAAAATTCCTTCTTTAACCTGTCTCCCCCCTTCATCTGCATTGATTGAAGTGGATTTCACAAGTGACATCAATAAGGGATCATAGCTTTCACCTGGATTCACCTGGTCAGTCTATGTCATAGAAAGAGCAGTTGTTACTAATGTTTTTTTCACTCAGTGTATATTAAAACTACTTGATTTATTCCCACAAGACTCATCTTATAGAAAATATTTCTAAGCCCAGACAAGGAAATCATGTCCTCACACACGACTCTCCAAATCTTCAGCTTTCATAATCTTGAAAAGTGTCACTGTTAGGACTGGGGTTATTTTTTCTGAGCACAAACGGTCCAAGAACAATTTGGTCTGTGTGTGTGTGTCTGTGTGTGTGTGTGTGTGTGAACGTCGAGAGATGCATGCGTGTGTATGTGTGTGTGTGGATTCCCCTTTACTCTGTGTGTGTGTGCTCTATGTGTTTGAGAGGAGTGACAGAAGGACAATGCCTCTTCCACTTTGTACATCAGGAATGAGACTGCTTGAGAGATTCTGCATTGTCCCTCTAATTTGGATTTTGCTGACTTACCCAAGTGAAATAAATCCAGAACTGGATGAGCCTGTTGACAATCGTATAATGTTGGATTTTAGGAGGATTGCCTGAAGTGTCCCCTTTTATTTAAATCCCCCCTTCCCCTCTATTAAGAGACCCATCTGTTGTTTTACATAGTCACTTAATTGAATAACTGCAGCTAATTTGGTAAACCATAAAGATCCCCATATTTCCCTCCATGTGCTACTCTACTCATCAGTCCGTGGCACACTGATTAAATGTGAAAACATAATTTATCAACCGGCGCTTCAATGCTGGCCTCAATGAAATAGAATGAGGAGGTGTGCATTTTCATTGCAGGGCTGTCTTGAGGTTAAGGGATGGCTGGGATAGGAATGGTGGCTTGTGTTACACACTGTAAAGTCATCCCCGTGTTTTGATTTCCTTCGTCTCTGGCAGCTCATTCACACCATCAGCGTGGTGGATCGGGACGAGCCGCAGTCGGGCCACCGATTCTACTTCACCCTGGCACCAGAGGCCACCAACAACCGCCACTTCACCCTGTGGGATGTCAAAGGTAAGAGGTCAAACGTTATAGGTCAGAGGTCAAACAGCTGTTACAGAGCGACTGAAGGTAATGTTGAAGGACGATACTCTACATCCTCGTGCCTCAGAGGGTACTGTGAAATATGTGTAGTTAGAATAGTATGTGTTGATGCAGTATATGATGCAGTATATGGACATACTGTTCCGCTTAATGTAAGTGCCCCTACATTATGAAACACCACATAAGGACATCCATATTCTAGTGGTGACTTTGCAGCGGACCCAAACCTTTTTCCTTCGCATCTTTTTGTTGTTGTTGCAAAACACTGACTCCATGGAGCGGGATTACATGTTAGCAAGCAAATCCCTCTTTGGAGATGGGTACCTAAGTGGATGTGACGCATGGCCAAATCAAGATTGATCTGACATGGTGAAAATGTCAGAGGAGCGAGCCAGGGAAATGTCAGAGGAGGCTGTGGCGTGGCCTGGTGTAGCACAGTCACATGCCTGGGCAGGGGCCTGGGTACTGGGAAACACGGGGCTCAGCGTCTGCATGAGTCAACTCACCCCTCCGCCCACACACACAGATAGACTCACGCATACACGCAGAGACACAGGCAAGCACACAAATGCACATGTATTGAACCAATCACACACGTATATACACACAGTCAAACCTATATGCTGGCAGCACACAAACATACACAAACACTTACACACACACACACACACACACACACACACACACACACACTATGTGCTCAGCAGGGTGTGTGCTCTCACACAGAGACACTGTGGCTCAGACCTTTTATCCTCCCACCTTTTTCCCCCACTGTACTTCTGTTTCATGGACACATTTGTCAACCTGTCAGATTGGATGTGTCACTTTCTCTTTTCACCATCACGGCTTCACATTCCATTCATTCGAGCTATGACACATGAAGACAAACAGGCACTATTTTTTTCATTCCACAAAACTTTTTAGTCATTGTTTTTGGAAGTCTGCAAAGCCAATCTTCGCCATTGAAGAAGCAAAGATCTACAGTTATCGCAAAAGTGACTTGCTTTACTTACTTTATTGTCCCGGTTAGGGAAATTTGTTATAAAGCAAATAAAAGAAGTGTGTTTTGTTTTGTCTTATCAGTTTTTGTTACTGTTAATAAGTCATTGTTCATTTACTAATCTGATTAATGTGTAAATTAACATGACATTCAATAAAAACAGTTCAGTAAATCTTTCACTCCATTAAAACACACACAATTAGCTTATACATTCCCCTGTCGCCTCATAAAATAAAATAAAATATTTAGACCGCACTTGTCAATGCACCTATTTATCAATCACTTTATTTTCGACGGGTTTAAGATGGTATGGATACTTTCTGGTACTTACCTCAAATAATTTAACACCATTGGTAACTACTTGGTACCAAATGGTACAAAGCAACGCTTGTGTCAATGAATCTCAATGAAATTAAAGTGAAATGAATATTGCAATTATTAGGTAGTTACCATTTTAACCAGCCATTTCAAGGTAACAACCTGCCATGTACTGTGTTTAAAAATAAATGGTTATCAAAATGTCTGTTTCGGAAATAAACAATTCAACAATGATAGAGCCTAAGATTACTGCATCCCTCTTCTGTCCATTCAGCCTCTTTTTGAGATAGAAAGGCATACTTATGAAATAGGATGCCGAGTAAAAGTCAGAGGGACAATGTCACAGACATTATACTCAGCAAAGTTCCAAAACAAACAGCCATGGTGATAGGAAGAGTGTACTGCCTACCTGTGACAGAGAAGTGCTGTAGCTGCATTGATGACTGTGATATATGCCTCCGCTGATGGATTGCCTAGTGTCTTATATACAAGTCCATCCATACTAGCTATTCTGACTATATTTGTCAAAGCCTGCTGCTGTATGTATTGTCTATGTCTCCCCGAGAGGCTGTGCACCAGTTAGGTTTTATTTGAAATGTGGCATCCTCCCATTTTCTCCCCTTGGTTTCATTTGACTAAAAATAATGTGTGATGAATAGATGGTTACAGTTCTTGGTTAACTAGCTAGCGAATTTTAGCCATATTATCATAGACGTGACATCAGTCAAAACACCTCAAAACAAGGCATGGTATTAAGAACAAAAGAAAACTAGCTGAAACGAGCCACCTACGATTCCCCACATGGCAGCTTCTCGTCAAATACATATCTGAGCAGAGGCAAACCTATTTCTCAGGTAGCACCTCATTTATTTATTTATACTGAATTATCTTGTTCTCTGACTCGTCTGCCTGTGTGGGATTTCCAGACTATAAAATTGGAACACCAAAATGGACATTGGCATACCGGCAACATGACTATACAGGACGGCCATCTTAGTTATGAAGGTCTATGACCACTCTAGTATTATCTCATATACAGTATTATATCTCTATGTTACAGATAACCCTGCAGGGATTCGAACCCAGCGCTTGGGCTTCAACCGCCAACAGCAGATAGTTATGAAGGTCTATGTATGACATAGGCCATTGGTATAATATTGTATCTCTATGTTCCAGACAACACTGCGGGAATCCGGACCCAGCGCTCGGGCTTCAACCGCCACGAGCAGAACGTCTACCTGCTGCCTATCCTGGTAGTGGATAGCGGGCCTCCCGCCCTGAGCTCCACGGGCACCCTGACCATCCACGTGTGTGGCTGTGACCCGGAGGGCGCCATCCAGTCCTGCAATGCCACCGCCTACGCCATTAGCGCCTCACTCAGTCCCGGGGCCCTCATAGCTCTACTGGTCTGCATGCTCATACTCATAGGTAAGCATGGACCAAAGTGAAAATGGAACTGAGTTCCTTCAAATTTAGCTGCGCTTGATTGAGCTTGCCTGGCATAAAATAACCAACAGAATAGTCCTAAAAGTGGAACCCCATCCTTTTGGCACTGTAGGCAATCAAATGCTCAAAGTATTTGGAAAGGAAAACAAATGTTATTGGAATCCAGGTCTGCAAACCATCTGTTTGTCTGCTTGTACAGTTTTTGGGCCAAATAATTTTGGGATTTATTTTCTATTTACTGAGTCACAAATTAATGAAACGGCCCTCTGGTGGAATAAGTCAACTGTAAAGACAATCTGGAGATAGGATGAAATTGAAGGATACAGATTTTTCGGTAAACATGGGATTAACTATGTTTACAACTGGCATTAATAAAGGAAAGACATCTGCTCTGGATGATCTGACGGGGGTCTATCAGGACACAGAACAGTGCTTTTGTTTTAAAACAGCAGAGAAGCAGACAAATATATACAGGATAGGGAATACAGTTATAGGTATGTGGCACATATGAGTATACGGGAATAATTCAAAACAATGTGAATGAGACAATAGAGGGACTGTAAAACCAAAGTACAGTCTACCTCTACAGCTGTATCCTTCATTCATGAATGTCATGTATCTATGATTAGTTTTCTTCATATTTTTCGTCCAACGAGTGACGTTGCAGTCGGGCAACTCTCAACCCCCTTTCATGAGCTTTTCTCCAAGTGGATAGTACTTACAATCGTTGGACTTTAGGAATGACATCAAACCACTCTGCTCCCTGAAATATGGTGGGAGGGGGAGCTGAATGGTGAGAGTGGGAGGCCTAGTAGAAAGAGGGGGGGGGGGGCTGCATCAGCACTCAGGTCCCCCTGGAACAACGCTCTTTAAATAGACAAGGTTTTCCAGACATTCTCAGATACTAGCATTCACACACACAAAACTCTCAGCAGGAGTGCTAGGCGAGAGAAGATTTTGTATTGTCATCTTTGGAAGTTTCAGGAGTAGCTTTAAAGTCTTGCCTCGTTAATACTGGCAAAACGTTCTTTTTTTTGGCAGCGGTTGAAACGTAAGCAGAGTACGTCGTCGTCAGTTTATTTTCGGTCCCCTCTGCGTACTTTTCTAACCTGTGTTTCACATCTCGTTTGTTTTGAATGACTGATAAACAGGCTGGGGCTTCATCCCAAATGGCACCCTATTCCAGGGCCCATATTGCTCTGGTCAAGTAGTGCACTAGAGAACAGGGTGCCATTTGGGATGGACCTTGGGTCATACAGTATCTCTGAATCAGGGATCGGGTATTGTTTTTAGGGTGGTTTTAATATAATGTCTCCATTAACTTAAGCGTAGTGAGCTTCAAAAGGAACCAATATTTTATTCATTGGGGTTTTTAAAAGCCTATTTGGCCCTCAACCAAAATGATTATGTACAAACCTGAAGCATGCAAGCTTAACTATAAAAAGCAGTCGTTAAAAAGTACTGTGTTTTGGGTGGTACTATAGCTGTACTACCACAAAGGGTCATTTCCATTTCAATTCAGGAATTAAACAGATATTTTAATTCCAGTTTTCCCCAATGCATTTCAATGCGGAACAGTAGGAAATGGAATATCATTGTACTTCCTAAATTAACTGAATTGAAATGGCACTTATCCTAACCCTGCTATCTCAGTAACGCTCCTGTCTTCAAAAACAAGCTGTCCATAATATTGCCCATTGTTTAGAGGAATATTAGATATTAAATATGATGTGGTGTATGTTTGGTGAAGCAAGTGGTGAGTAGCCTAAGTTGAAATGGAAAAAAAACATTGATATCTGTCATTGATACCCATTTACTGTTCGCAGTGTAATTCTGCCAATACCTTGGCTGATTTGCACCCATTTGATCGCAGTTCAAGTGATGTCAGATACACACAAATTAATATTGACTGATTGATATTCATTGGCAGAAAATGGAAACAACACCTATATTAAGTGGCTAGAGCTCTAAGCAGCTCTAAGCCCACTGAGGTATTGCCAATTATAGTGGAGGTTCTGGGCTGCGAGAGAGCTGAGCTGAGCTCAAGGGAATGAGAACGGACAGTGCTGTGTTAACAGCCACCTTATGTGTTAATGGGCGAGATGGATTGGAGCAAAACAACTAACTTGCCTGTGGGTCGGCCTTGACTTCCCAACGATCCACCCACACACAGAACACACACAAAGAGCGTAAACTCACACACACACACACACACACACACACACACACACACACACACACACACACACACACACACACACACACACACACACAGTATAGAACCACACACAGAGCCTAGACACACACACAGAACTCACAAACAAAATGTCTCCCACCAACTCACCCGTTGATCTGTACGTGTTTGTGAGTGTGGTTGGGGGGGGAGAACCCAGCTCTCCGGAGGCGCCGGAGCACCTTATTAGATCAATTGTGGCATGATGAGCAAAATGAAAACACATCTCTGCCTAATTAGCAACAAACAAACAATCCCTCCATCAGTTCATTTAGTGGGTGACGTGATGAATCCATTTTGGCGCGGCGAGGCATATGCGTACATCCGTTCCAATTACGCCCCATCTGCTGTGATGAACTCCTGAGCTCGTGCGGCTAGGCGCAGCCCAAGGGTAAATTGCCCGTCTTGTCAGGACTGCTTATCGGAACACTCTGTACACAAAGGAGCAGCCACACGTTGGCGGGGCAGGTACTATATGTATGCCGGACATACCACAGGCTGTGCATTATACCATGCATAACATGCAAAATGTGACTTTGGATTTGATGTGTTATGTTACCGTCGCTGTAACGCGGCGAATAACAGTAACGTTGAAAGATGTAATTCATATCTCTTTAAGAAGAATGAAGCAGCAAATGTATTACCTCTGATTTCCACTAAGATAGAAACCTAATACTATACTACACACTGTAGTATTCCCCTTGATCGTGTATTGCTTACTATAGAATGTTGTAGTATACTGTAGAATACTATACTACAAACAGTAATATTCCTTGATCATGTAGTGCTTACTTTAGAACGTTGTAGTATACTGTGTAGAATACTATACTACACACTGTACTGGTCCTCTGTAGCTCAGCTGGTAGAGCACGGCGCTTGTAACGCCAAGGTAGTGGGTTCGATCCCCGGGACCACCCATACACAAAAAAATAAATGTATGCACGCATGACTGTAAGTCGCTTTGGATAAAAGCGTCTGCTAAATGGCATATTATTATTATTATTATAACCCTCAATCACGTAGTGCTTACTTTAGAATTTTTTGATCGATTGGGACTCCAAGCTAGCTTTACTGCTACCTGCTAGCTTTGTCGATGCTGTTTTGATTTGAACGTGCTGTCCTTGGGGAGCTCATGCCAGGAATTTCCTTTGAGGTTCCCCCTCGATTGTGTAGTGCTTACTATAAAATTGTGTAGTATACTGTAGAATAATATACTCCACACTGTAGTATTCCTTGAGTGATTGATTTTATTTGACTATTTAATAACACAATACAACCACACATTCGGATACAATGCATTTAGAAATGTGTTGAGAATAACTAAACAAGTTTAAAATGTGTTTCCACTGTTGTCCTAGTTCAAACATCAAACATGTTACACATTTACAGCTCACCCACATGAAAAAAATACTATAGTATACTATGGTCTAAATACTGTAGTATTACTATATTTATATACTATAGTATTTACTGTAGTGTTTTTGCGGGCATGACTGTAGTAATTACTGTAGTGTTTTTGTGGACATGAATGTAGTATATAGTATTAACTGTAGTGTTTTTGCGAACATGACTGTATTATACTATAGTATTCACCAGGAGCTCAAGGCATTACAGAGGGTAGTGCGTACGGCCCAGTACATCACTGGGGCCAAGCTTCCTGCCATCCAGGATCTCTATACCAGGCGGTGTCAGTGGAATGCCCTAAAAATTGCCAAAGACTCGAGCCACCCTAGTCATAGACTGTTCTCTCTGCTACCGCACGGCAAGCGGTACCGGAGCGCCATGTCTATGTCCAAAGGCTTCTTAACAGCTTCTACCCCCAAGCCATAAGACTCCTGAACAGCTAATCAAATGGCTACCCGGACTATTTGCATTGCTCCCCCTGGTGGTACTATCTGTTTATTATCTGTGCATAGTCACTTTACCTCTACCCACATGTACATATTACCTCAATTACCTCAACTAACCTGTGCCCCCGCACATTGACTATGTACCGGTACCTAGCCTCGCTATTGTTGTTTTACTGCTGCTCTTTAATTATTTTTTTATTTTTTATTTTCTTTACTTATCTAATTTTTACTGAACACTTATTTGTCTTAAAACTGCATTATTGGTTAAGGGCTTGTAAGTAAGCATTTCACTGTAAGGTGTAAGGTATTCGGCGCATGTGACAAATAACATTTTATTTTATTTATATATACAGTACCAGTCAAAAGTTTGGACACACCTACTCATTCAAGTGTTTTTCTTTATTTGTATTATGTTCTACATTGTAGAATAATAGTGAAGACATCAAAACTATGAAATAACACATATGGAATCATGTAGTAACCAAAAAAAGTGTTAAACAAATCAAAATATATAGCCACCCTTTGCCTCGATGACAGCTTGGCACACTCTTGGCATTCTCTCAACCAGCTTCATGAGGTAGTCACCTGGAATGCATTTCAATTAACAGGTGTGCCTTGTCCCCAGTGAAAGTTGCGCCCCTGGTATTCACTGTTTTTGCAGACATGACTGTGGTATATTATAGTAACACCTGCCGGTAAAATGCTAAAACTACCAGACTCCAGTTACGCCAGTTACTGTTTAATGAGGGGAACACCAACCAGAACATAAGACATGTTCGTGAGGGGCCACCTTTTGAGTTGAGTATACAGTTGAGCAATGCAATGGATCAGACAACACCTTATCAAAATTATACATAATTTATTACATTTGTAACATCTAAGTATTAGACAGGTTCTAGGCCTATTAAAGGGAAACAGAACAGAGGCAGATAAAGAACAAGCAAAGTTGATTAAAGCTTAGAGGATTAGGTTTGCTTATTTGACAGAGATAAATAACACACGTTAACAAGAGTACACCAAAATGACTTAGCTCTGTTACTTCCACTAGATAGCTTTCTGAAATACAACAGTGCCTTCACAGAGATTCAGCTGACCATGTTCAAAAAGTGACAAATACTGTACTTCTGGTGATAGAAAATAAACAGTTAACCACTGAATTAACATAAATAATATATATTTCAGAAATACAAATTACTTTACAAAGACAGTCAACTTATTGGAGGGTGCTGCCAATAAACTGCCTGGACCTCAAACCAGCAAAGCCTCTCCAAACAAACCAACCGAAAACAAAAGGACATTACTGCAGTGGCAATAACATTCCAGGTCCAAAGCCTGAGTCAATACATGGTAGAATCACCTTTGGCAGTGATTACAGCTGTGAGTCTTTCTGGGTAAATCTCCAAGTGCTCTGCACACCTGGACTGTACAATATTTGCAAATTTTTCTTTTACGAAATCTTCAATTTCTGTCAAGTTGGTTGCTGATCATTGCTAGCAGCCATTTTCAAGTCTTGCCATAGATTTTCAAGCCGATTTAAGTCAAAACTATAACTAGGCCCCTCAGGAACATTCAATGTCGTCTTGGTAAGCAACTCCAGTGTATATTTGGCCTTGTGCTTTAGGTTATTGTCCTGCTGAAAGGTGAATTTGTCTCCCAGTGTCTATTGGAAAGCAGGTTTTCCTCTAGGATTTTGCATGTGCTTAGCTTTATTCTGTTTCTTTTTATACTAAAAAACTCCCAAGTCCTTGCTGATGACAAGCATACCCATAACATGATGCAGCCTCCACCATGCTTCGACAACTGAATGCATTCCACGGAAATGTGTCCCTCCCAGCAACCTTTCGGTTACTGGCCCAACACTTCCACCCGCCAGGCTACCTGCGCCCCCATGAAGAGGGGTACACACTGATGTGTAGTTTTGGATTTGCCCCAAACATAATGCTTTGTTTCATGTCATAAAGATAATTTATTAGCCAATTTTTTTGTAGTTTTACTTTAGTGCTTTAATGCCAACAGGATACATGTTTTTGAATATTTGTATTCTGTACAGGCTTCCTTCTTTTCACTCTGCCATTTAGGTTAGTATTGTGGAGTAACTACAATGTTGTTGATCCATCCTCGGCTGTCTCCAATCACAGCCATTAAACTCTGTAACTGTTTTAAAGTCACCATTGGCCTCATGGTGAAATCCCTGAGTGCTTTCTTTCCTCTCCGGCAACTGAGTTAGGAAGGACGCCTGTATCTTTGTAGTGACTGGGTGTATTGATACTCCATCCAAAATGTAATTAATAACTTCACCATGCTCAAAGGCATATTCAATGTCTGTATCTACCAATAGGTGGCTTTGCGAGGCATTGGAAAACCTCCTGAGTCTTTGTGGTTGAATCTGTGTTTGAAATCCACTGCTCGATTGATAATTGTATTGTGTGGGGTACAGAGATGAGGTAGTCATAAAAAAATCTAATTGCACACAGTACAACTTATTATGTGACTTGTTAAGCACATTTTTACTCCAGAACTTATTTAGGCTTGCCATATAAAAGGGGATGAATACTTATTGACATAAGACATTTCAGCTTTGCGTTTTTAATTATTTTGTAAAACTTTCTAAAACATAATTCCACTTTGACAATATGGGGTATTTATTATAGGCCAGTGAAACAAAATCTCAATGTAACCATTTAAAATTCAGTCTGTACTACAACAAAATGTGGAACAAATCAAGGGGTGTGAATACTTACTGAAGGCACTGTTAATGAAAGTCGTTAGTGAGCTGGCCCCCTGATGGCCATCATCACATGCAGGATTAGTCAATGTTCAAGGATGGAGGTGATAGCATATCAACCTCATGCCGCGTGGAACGGAAATGGCTTCAATCCCAATTATAATAGTAATGGTAATAGTAGTGATATACATATTCATCGTCATATTACTTCAAAATAGTAATGATCAACATTAATGTTTGAATATTCATATAGTTATTATAATTATATTTTTATTTCCACATTTGATTAAGACACTTTTAATTAGTGTTGTCATAGCGCTGACATTTAGTTTGGTAAGTGGTAGACAGGAAGTTATAATTAATTAATTAATCAATCGGAGTCCCTCCGGAATAACCATATGTCTGGAGAATTGGGCTACAGCTAAGTGGAAGTTTTCTAGTCAGACATGGAGGCAGTCATTAATATAAGTAAGCTTGGATTAAAGCCCTAATTGATTTATTGGGATGGATACAGCTTTTTTTTTCTCCGCCTCATTAGACTATTAAGTGATCCATCTCAGTTGTTTTCCTTTTTAATTCAGACTTAATTTTTAGTCATTAAACCCTCTGTTGGTGGAGGCCAACACAGTAGAGCTCTGCTGTAACTTTTTGTCTGGTTCTACCGCAGCACGTCTCACTTGAATAAGTATTGATGAACAGATCAGCCTCTATTAAGCGTTTGAAAACATATTTCTGGTTGAGCAATTAAGAATTTTGCTTCGTGCACCGGAGGAGAATCGATGCCTATGCATTGGAAATGTTACTCTTCATTATTTAAACTGTATTTTTTGGTGTGAAATCAAAGTTGGAAAATCAGAGATGAAAAAGGAAAGGGCAAACTTTTTCCTAATAAATAGAAAAAAATATGTTTTATTAGCCACTCACCACTTTCACAATCCAATATTCTTCATTCATCTTGTGTTATTCCCCTTTGTGCTTGAGAGAAACTTTACAAAAGGGCAGATGTTTATGTTCACTCTTATAATTCATTAGTCTTCGCCTCATGACGTGAAATTACTCTCTACCAGCTACTCTCTGAAAGTTTCTCCAAATGTTCACTGGCAACTCCAGATAATAATCCAGAGCTTTGGCTCACAACTTCTGCACAGTGCAGACACACTTCATAGGCTCTGACTTCCACTGTTGATGCGGCTGATCCCTAAACCCCTTAATCCCTAATCCCATGCTCTTTCTCCACCTTCTGCAGTCCTGGTGCTGCTAATCCTGACCCTGAAGCGCCACCGCAAGGGCCAGAGCATGTCGGAGGACGAGGAGGACATGCGCGACAACGTCATCAAGTACAACGACGAGGGCGGCGGCGAGCAGGATACGCAGGCCTACGACATGAGTACCCTGCGCAACCTCTTTGACTTTCCAGAGGCCAAGAGTGGCTCGTCCGAGTCGGGCCCTGACCTACGCACGCTGCCCCAGTGGTTCCAGGGACGGATGAGTGGTGACGGCGGGACGGCCGACTTCTCCCTCTTCAAGGGCTACATCCTCAAGAAGGTGGAGCAGGCAGACGCCGACCTGTCGGTGCCGCCCTACGACTCATTCCAGACGTACGCCTTCGAGGGAACCAGCTCTCCGGCCCTCTCCCTCAGCTCCATCCACACCCTGTCCACCACATCCGAGCAGGATTTCTCCTACCTCAGCGACTGGGGGCCGCGCTTCAGGCAGCTGGCTGGATACTACACCACGGGACATCCTGAGGAAGACGGCTCTTAGCGGTGTCCTCGGCCCAGACCCTTTCTCCTCCTCCATCCCCAGCACTGTATCAAGAGCCCAGTGTCAAAACTGTCCTAAAAAGCCCTCGTCCAACTCCTTCAGAGCGACAGAACTGAATCCCAGTCAGTGTTGGAAATCAATTTGGTCAAAAAAAATATTCTTACTTCGAAAAGGTTGAAACTTCATGGTGAAAGGTGGGCTGATTAAATGTGGGATTAAAGGAGGTGTTATCCATTCACTATTCCCTTTACAATAAGGAACAAAGGAGTATGACGTAATACAATATAAGTGGTGCGCCACAGGTTACAATACAATTACCTTTTACATTTGTCTCTGGGTATTTTCTGCCTGGAGTCAAAGACTGTTCAATTTTTAGCTGTGTGAGTGTGGACGCTCTGAGGACATTCAGAGAAATGTGAATGTTATGAAACTCAGCAGGGGGTTAAGGGTTTTTTCCAAGCCAAGGCAAACTATCTGTGACAAATATGTATTTATTTATGAACAAATATTTATGTATTTATTCCTTTGTATTGATGTATTTATTTTGTCCATAATCACCGCACCACTTGTAACAATGGACATCAATGAAGAATGATACAGAAAGATTTATTAAAGTGAAAACCTGAGGAGAGATGAGCTTCTGTGTAAGCATGTAGCAGAGGACTTTACAAAGGTGATATTTGGGTCACGGACAACTACAGTCTAGGAAATATTTGTATTTATTTTTTAGGAAAACTTTTGTAAAATAAACAACAAGACTGGAAGACGGAGAGTGACTAAAAAGAAAAGGGTGAGACTTTCACTGGATTGTAAAGATTTCTAAGGGGTTATGAAGGACGTTGGACATTGTGTTAACTGGGTTTTTGCTTTGCTTTTTCACCGCCATTTAAAAGGCAATAAGGCACAATCCGCACAAGCGATTCAAGACTATACTGTATGAAATGACTGTGTTTGTTTCATGGAGTTGGGTATTTGCCAACTCTTCCTGAGAAGTTCATGTTCATTCCAGTATTTGTATGTGTGTGTCCAACTTGTTTTATATTTCGGAAGATTTGATTGCTTTTGTTCTTTTGAGTCTATTTTACAGGGTGGATGGATATGTGAAGGGGTGACCGGTACAGGAATAAGGGATAAGTAGATGGAATTCCTCCACCCGCTATCCAGAACCTATTTAATGTTGATCTTAAACTTGCAAATGTATGGAAAATAAAATCAATAAATATTTAATGATATGTTTTGTAAAAAGACTGATGGCTTTTTCTCCACATTGTAAGAACTGAGATACTTATGATCTAATATCATTATAACAGCTTATCTTATTATGTCAATGTTTGAGAGTCACTACAGTATTGCTAGGATACAGTTTCATCTTATCATAGTTGATCCGATAGAGTGAAACTACCCTCATAATTATGGTATGATGACACTTACTAAATCATTGTTTATTTTTAGGGAACAATAATCCTGCATCCAGGAAGTGAATTGTGTAGCTTGGTTCCACTAGAGTACAGTCAGAATCTGTAGGTCTAATTAATGCAGAGGATCGCTAGATGCAGATTAAGGGAATTCAGAGTATCTCCCTACTCCCAAGCCCTTTAATTGTCATGGTCACCTGAGGATACTGTAGCATATGGAGTTCAGTCTTATCTTTGTGGTCTGGGGTGGTGGCCAAGGTGGCCCACTCATAACACTTCTGGTTATGCTTCAAAGGAGTTGGAGGTTCATGTTGAGCTCAAAGTTCACTTTCATATTCGAGTGTTGAGTCAGGACATTGGAAAGCGTTGGACAGTCTACATTCAGCTGACAGATCCCTTTCCCTAATCTTAAACTTAACCCTTATCCTAACACTACACATAACCCTAATTGTAAACCTGATCCTAATCTTAACCCTGAACTTAACCAATTCCTATTTACCTTAAACTAATCACAATCTCCTGGCTGAATATCCACTTCCAAAACGTTGACAAGTCAGAGACCTGTAATATGTATTTATTTCCAGTTCATATAGAACCTGAACAAGATCAGTAAAAATAATTCTGATAATCAAATCTTTGGCTTGACTGTTGGCCAGAAGTATACTGAACAAAAATATAAACTAACATGTAAAGTGTTGGTCCCATGTGTTACAGGTTTTTGTTTTGCCATTTATGTTTTGAGGTTGGACTTTTAGCATGTTAGCACGTAGGGCGCACCGATTGATGTCACCTCGTTAGTCAGTATGTGTTACACCTGTGCTTGTTGCTATCTCATTAGTGGGAAGGGGTTTCACCTGTGCTGGCCCAGGTGCTATTTAATAATGGCTGGCCCAGTGCTCTAGTTGTTTTGAGAAATGTGGAGGGTTAACACCTTTAGTTGGTGCTCCTTATTTGAAATCTAAAAGAACAATCCTATATCTGATCTTCACTGTTTTCATTTCGCTCCACTTTTTGGTTTGCTTGCTGTCTTTGAGTTTGGTGTGGGTTTTTCTTTTGTTTGCCTCCTTAGTGGGCAAATTTAGTGGCCGCTCATGGTGGGTGTCTTTTAGGTCCCAGTTGTTGCTATGCAACTTTCAGTGGACACCCCCATGAGTGTCTTTCAGAACTCCTCCTAAAACTCCACCTGTTTCGTTTTGGTTGTTGTCAGTGACTCTTTGTTAGTTCCCCCTTCTGATTGAGCGACATTATTTGGTTTTCTTGCTGGAAAAAGAAACACGTGTTTCATGAGCAGAAATAAAAGATCCCTGAAATAAAAGATCCCAGAAATGTTCCATATGCACACAAAGCTTATTTCGCTCAAATTCTGTGCACAAATTTCTTAACATCCCTGTTTGTGAGCATTTCTCCTTTGTCAAGATAATCCATCCACCTGACAGGTGTGGCATATCAAGAAGCTGATTAAACAGCATGATCATTACACAGCTGCACCTTGTGCTGGGGAGAATAAAAGGTTACACAACACAATGCCACAGATGTCTCAAGCTTTGAGGGAGCGTGCAATTGGCATGCTGACTGCAGGAATGTCCACCAGAGATGTATTTCTCTACCATAAGCCGCATCAAGTCATTTTAGAGAATTTAGCAGTACATCCAACCGACCTCACAATGTAGACCATGTGTAAACACGTCTGCCCAGGACCTCCCACAGGACCTCCACATCCTGCTTCTTCACCTGCGGGATCGTCTGAGACCAGCCACCCGGACAGCTGATGAAACTGTTTGCACAACCGAAGAATTTCTGCACAAACTGTCAGAAACCGTCTCAGGGAAGGTCATCTGCGTGCTCGTCATCCTCACTAAGGTCTTAACCTGACTGCTGTTCAGTGTCGTAACCACCTTCAGTGGGCAAATGCTCACCTTCGATGGCCACTGGCACGCTGGAGAAGTGTGCTCTTCATGGATTAATCCCGGTTTCAACTGTACCGGGCAGATGGCAGACAGCATGTGGGCGAGCGGTTTGCTGATGGCAACATAGTACCCCAAGGTGGTGGTGGGGTTATGGTAAGTGCAGGCATAAGCAATGGAAAACGCACACAATTGCATTTTATCGATTGCAATTTGAATGCACAGCAATACCGTGACGAGATCCTGAGGCCCATTGTCGTGCCATTCATCCGCCGCCATCACCTCATGTTTCAGCGTGACAATGCACGGCCCCATGTCGCAAGGATCTGTATACAATTCCTGGAAGCTGAAAATGTCCCAGTTCTTCCATTGCCTGCATACTCACCAGACATGTCACCCATTGAGCATGTTTGGGATGCTCTGGATCAACGTGTACGACAGTGTGTTCCAGTTCCCGTCAATATCCATTACCTTTGCACAGCCATTGAAGAGGAGTGGGACAACATTCCACAAGCCACAATCAACAGCCTGATCAACTCTATGTGAAGGAGATGTGTCGTGCTGAATGAGGCAAATGGTGGTCACACAAGATACTGACTGGTTTTCTGATCCACGCCCCTACTTTTTTTTAAAGGTATCTGTGACCAACAGATGCATATTTTTATTCCCATTCATGTAAAATCCATAGATTAGGGCCTAATGAATTGATTTAAATTGACTGATTTCCTTACATGAACTGTATCTCATTAAAATCGTTGAAATTGTTGCATGTTGTGTTTTATTTTTGTTCTGTGGATATGACTTGAAATATGCATAAGAACAGATAAATGGAACCATATGTGGTCAGGTGAGATTGGATGTGGTCAGGTCTAATCGTGATGTATGGGGTTGGCCCATCCATTATTAATCATAGCTCCAATACGACAGCATCGGATGACGTGATGTCATACCCTAAAATCCTCTAGACTTTTGTCTATAAACACCCGGGCCATTAGAGTCATAGGAGAGGAGGAGGGGGGGTGTTCTGGGCTCTTAATGAATTCCTCATCAGTGAAATGCCAGAAGGATACCACCGCATGACTAATCCAATGGAAAAGGTTAAAGAGTAAGCACTGCCTAAGGGAGAATCTCAGTTTCTCCCAGTACTCCTGGTCAGTCCACTCTCCACCCATGAATGAGCATCTTTACTGAGGTAGCGCCGGCCATTTTTCAGTAATGGGCTATACATTCTAACACATTAATGTGTTGTAATAAATCACAGATTTCCCCCCCTAGTCCAAGGGCAACATGAGGACCTTCATTTGTTATGAGCACAGATGAAAGGTGATTGACAGTGCTCTGGGGGAATATCTGTGCTGACATTAAAGTCCCCCCTCTTTTCTCATTGGGATTGATAATGACAATTGATAAAGCATTGCAGAAATATGAATGTACTGTAGAACATATTCATCAAAAATAGGCCTAAAGTCTGGGCAGCACTATATTATTTTCGAAGGCACAGGGAAAAAAAAGCTGATTTCAAAGAGAGAGGAAAAACAAAGCACCTATTCCTTTCCTCGTGTTATGAAATGCAGGACTTGGTAAAACCTGATGCCATTTAAACCTGCTAGGTTTAAGTTACAGGCAGGTAGGCAGTTTGAATTATGCACAACATTAATTAATTAATTTAGATGATTTA